TGTGTGTGTGTGTGTGTGTATTTGTCATGAGATGTGCTCCAAGGTGACTCCTGAGATGGGGCCGACGTCAGTCAGTCATTAGAGGCATTAACAAGATCAAGCAGCTGTGTCGGCTTAAGTCCAAAAGTCACTTTTACCGACAAGAAAAGCAGCCGGACGCTTTTTATCACGCGACGGCCCAAAATGCTTTGAGATGGCTCGGGCGAAAAAAAAAAAAATGTGCGAGATGTGAAGTTTGTTAAAACATGCGCATCAGTGTGTCGATTTGGAATCCAATTGGCGGCGGGGGGTAGCGCGTGCCACGGCGCCAAATTGCGGCGTGCAAAATGCGCGAGCAAAGCGTGTGCGTGTGTGCGCTTAGATGTGCGAGCCCAGCTGGTGGAGCAGCAGCGCTGTCTGGAGCAGCAGACGGAGATGCGCGTGCAGCTCCTCCAGGACCTGCAGGACTTCTTCCGCAAGAAGGCCGAGATCGAGACCGAGTACTCGCGCAACCTGGAGAAGCTGGCCGAGAGGTTCATGGCCAAGACGCGCAGCACCAAAGACCACCAGCAGTACAAGTACCGACGGCCTCCCCCGCCCGCTCCCGACGCGCTTCTTTTCCTGCGACTGCACAAAGCGCACACGCGCCCTCTTGTCTGCTTCTTGTAGAAAGGACCAGAACCTTCTGTCACCGGTCAACTGCTGGTACCTGCTGCTCAATCAGGTGGGTGGGCGGGGGGCGCTCCAGACAACCGCTAAAAACACATGGCTTTCCCCAGTCTGGGGAAAGCCACAGGAAGAACACCGGCGCACGGGAAGCTGCAGCCAGATCCGAAGCTCATCGAGAATATACGCCAAGTTTGTTGCGTGCCCGTTCAGGTGCGGAGGGAGAGCAAGGACCACGCCACGCTCAGCGACCTCTACTTGAACAACGTCATCAGCCGCCTCACGCACATCAGCGAGGACTCGGCCCGCCTCCTCAAGAGGGTCAGATCGCCCTTCGTCGTCACCCCCATCATCATCATCATCATCAGAATAGAATGGCGACGGGGACGAAGCTATTGGTGTGCACCGTTCGCACTGCAAAGCTGACCAAACAACCGAGTTAAAACTGGGAAACAAGCACCATCGCCGCCCCGCCCCGAGCCCCAACCTTAAAAAAAAAAAAAAAAAACAGCAAAACCTCCGTTTTCAGGATGAATCCGTTCTAGAAAGTCTCAAACCGAATCATACAAAAGCTGAAGAAATACATCCCATAAGAAATAACGTGAATCAAAGCAAACCGTCCGACCCATCCAAAATGATGACCCAAAAATATATTGGACAGAGGATCAGTCTAGTTTGACTTGCAAAAATATCAAATTCCGACAAAAGAAGTTGTCCAAATTGCTGCTTTGGCAGTTGCGGAAGCAAAGTCACGGACTTGAAATTGCGCGCTGGAGTCCACTTGGTTTGCCAGATTTTTGCCACAGTCACTTGGTTGAAACTCGATGCTTCGGACTTGGGACACAACGTGCTGTGAAAACAACGTGCTTTGCCGCACCAAGAAAAAAAACTCTTCATGTTTTATTCAGGTGCTGCGCTCAAGTGGGGAACGCACGTTGTCCACCGGGGGGAAAAGTCAAGTCGGCTTTGAGGCGCTCGGCTAGGCTTAGCGGCTAATTAAACACAAACGCAATTCCCCGCCTCCCGCTTTAACTCATCATCTTCATTATTAATGCCCCCCCCCTACCTCCAAAAAAAAAAAAATTCACATTCCCGACGCCATGGCGACGACCTGACGTGATCCTCGCCGCCGTCATGTGACTTGCCGCTGCGTTCATGGCGTGATGTGTCCTCGTTTAGAGCAAGGAGATCGTTTTCCAGCTACAGGAAGACCTCATGAAGCTTCTCAACGAGCTCTACACCGTAAGTGCTTCAAAAAGCATTTGGGGTTGACATTTTCTTCCAGACAAAACGATTTTCATTTGGTTTCACCGAATCGAGTTATCGGCGAATTGATGCGAGGATGTGACGGCCGTCACATTTTGATTTGGTCTCTGGGAAAAGAAATAGCCAAAATGCGGCCTTATTCTCGTCGCCCCCTCCCCCCGCCCCCGGGGAATGTCACCAGCTTGTTCTTGGCGTTGCCCAGGTGATGAAGAGCTACCACATGTACCACGTGGAGACCATCAACGCCGAGAGCAAGCTGCGCGAGGCCGAGCGGCAGGAGGGTCGGGCGAAGGGCGCCGCGGGCGCGGCCGAGCCCGTCTTCGGCCTGCGCATGGAGGAACGCCACCAGAGGCGCAACGCCGCCCGCAAGATGGAGAAGATGCGCGAGAAGGTACGCGGCGACCCGAGACGACGAGCCGATTCGCCGCCGATTCTCACGCCCGCTTTGGCTTCCTTCAGAGGAAGGCAAAATATTCGGAGAACAAAGTCAAGACGCTGAAAGCGCGCAACGAGTACCTGCTGACCCTGGAGGCCACCAACGCCTCCGTCTTCAAGTACTACATACACGACCTGCCCGACATCATTGACGTGAGTTCATCTACCAAGTACACCAATGTGGCGACACACGTTGTACGTTCGGTGACTTTGAAAAGGGAGGGAGGGAGGGAGGGAGGGAGTATGGTGGGCGGTGCTATGAACAGAAAAAAGAAAAGATGGATGCATGAACGCAAGGGAAGAAGGACATGGGGAAGGTGGTAGGAAAGGAGCGAGAAGCAGGAAGGAAGACTTGACCGTTGAAAGGAAGGACTGATGGAGGGAAGGAAAGATAGAAGACAGGAAGCAAGAATCCATTCAGACTGAAGGAAGGAAAGAGGGAGAGCTTGAAGCGGAGGAAAGAAAAGTACCAAGGATGGCAGTAAGGAAGCAAAGAAGGAAGATAGGTTTGAGGGATGGTCCAAAAGGAAAGAGGGACGGAAGGCAAGGGGGAAGCCAGGATGGAAAGGCAGCAAAGAGAGGAGGAAGGAAGCCAAGACCAACCGCAAAGTCTTTCGGCCCGTCCCGTTTGTAACCGCGGCGCATGTCGGGCGCGTTTGGGGCCAGTGCTGTGACCTAGGGTACCACTCCAGTCTGAGCCGGGCTCTGAGGACATACCTGTCGGCCGAACTCGGCCTGGAGGCGTCCAGGCGCGCCGGTCTGGAGGTGCTGGAGGGCGCCGTGGAGGGTCTGGACCCCGCCCGCGACCGCCAGCGCCTGCTGGGCCTCTACCCCACCGCATTCTGCCCGCCGCCCCGCTTCGGCTTCCAGGCCCACATGGGCGACACGGTGGGTCCAAAACGCCGGCGATGCCGTCGCGTCGAGTCGTCTGACGCGCTCGTTTGCGGCGGGCGGTCTTGCCGGCAGGTGAGCCAGATCGCCTCCCAGCCGCAGGTGCAGGCGGAGCTCACCTTGCGCCTCACGCAGCTGCAGACCCGCCTGGCATCACTGAAACTCGAGAACGAAGAGGTCAGAACGCTCACTCGAACGAAACGACCGCAGTTGCGCCGCGGCCCTGCGGTCGGCGCCGATGAGCACGAACAAAACGTACCCGGTGGACGGACGTGCGGCGTTCCCGGGTTGTGGTCCGCAGGTGAAGAAGACGTGGGGGGCCACGCTGAGCACCCTTCAGGACATGACGGTGCTGGACGACTACGACGTGTCGCAGAGCTTCACCCACAGTCCTTCGTCCGAGTCGGTCAAATCCAGCGTGTCCGACGGCTACCTGAACAAACCCAGCCTGGCCAAGAGGCGGGCCAACCAGCAGGAGACCGAACTCTTCTACTTCACGGTGAGACCAGCGTTGGGAGACCGTTCGCTGACGACCGGGGCGCAGGCGAAGCGAGACCCAGGCGCTGTCTGTCTTTTGCTCTTCCAGAAATTCCGAGAGTACCTGGAGGGGAGCAACCTGGTCTCCAAGCTCCAAGCCAAACATGACGTCCTCAAGAAAGCCATCGCAGAGGGTGAGCCCTTCAAAGTCCTTTCGCATTTCTTCCACATCAACTCTGTAGGGTCAGACGTGGTCCTCAGACTTATTGCCGGTTTCTCCCTGGCAGGCTACAAAGCCGAGTTGCTCACCACCAGGTAAGATTCTCACGCCTCTGCTCAGACATTGACCGAGTCGACGCCAGTTCAATGATTGTGGAACGTCATCTTTCAGTCGCGGGCGGAAGAACTCGCACAGCAAGCACCAGGTAGTTAGCTTAGCGTGCAACTCCAAAGTGAATCCGTGACTGAGCGATTGATCCCATGAGCCAATTTAACGTGTTGACAGGACTCAACCAAAGCCATCCCTCTGCTGGTGGAGAGCTGCATCCGCTACATCAACCTCCACGGTAAGTCGCAAGCCCGAGCAACATTTTCAAGCAAGTCCCGACCTGGATCATCGGGAGAAGAGAAGTGGCAGCAAAAGGGGACAAAATGGAGATGTGGAGGGGTGAGGCGGGCCCGGCAAGAGCCTTGTTGTAGACGTAACAAGGGGGGGCTTTAGCCAAATGTGAGCGCGCCAACATTTCTTCCGCCGGGCCTGCACCCGCAATGATTCGCAATAGTCTGCGTGCTCAATGGCCTTCCCCTGCGCCGCAGGTCTCCAACATCAGGGCATATTCCGGGTGTCCGGCTCTCAGGTGGAGGTCAACGACATCAAGAACTCCTTCGAGAGAGGTGAGCCCTCGGTTCACTCGGGGAGCCGTTGGGCCGCACGTTGCGGCTCTTGACGTGCGCTCTCGCGTCCAGGCGACGACCCGCTGATTGACGAGGAAAGCAACCGCGACATCAACTCGGTGGCCGGGGTCTTGAAGCTGTACTTCCGCGGCCTGGGGAACCCGCTCTTTCCCAGCGACAGGTTCAACGACCTCATCGCCTGCGTCCGTGAGTGTCGCACTCGACATCCGGGCGGGACTCGTCGCAGGAGGGGCTGGGGTGGGCTTTCTGGTCCAGGCGACGACCCGCTGATTGACGAGGAAAGCAACCGCGACATCAACTCGGTGGCCGGGGTCTTGAAGCTGTACTTCCGCGGCCTGGGGAACCCGCTCTTTCCCAGCGACAGGTTCAACGACCTCATCGCCTGCGTCCGTGAGTGTCGCACTCGACATCCGGGCGGGACTCGTCGCAGGAGGGGCTGGGGTGGGCTTTCTGATTATATTGTCGGTTATGAACCGTGTCAAAAAGTAAAGAGCCAGCTGAGTACCGGGGGTTCCTTCCCCATCTCCTACTGAGGAGGGCCCTGTTATAAGTCGCAAAACGGCCGCCCCCTCCCTCCCCGAGCCGT